TTTATATAAAAAAAAATAATTATTTTTTTTATGTAATCAATGAATAGATATTTCTATAATTTTAACGATAATTCAGTTGTTATATCCGATTTATCGATTTAAGAATAAAATTTATTTAGAACCAATATAGAATAAAATATTTTCTATAGTTGAAATAACAGGAACAATAACTAAGTAATAACTAAAGTAGAAAACTGTAGCATATTGACCTAATTCAATAAATGGAACTTCAACATGCATTTGACCTAAATTACCTAATAAAATAAAGTTAAATACAAATAAATAGAATAAGAATTTAGATAATACTTTAAATGTATTACCTCTTATAACTGATCTATCAGTAATTGGTAATATTAATAATATTAATAAAGCAGCAAACATAGCTATAACTCCACCTAATTTATCAGGTATTGATCTTAATATAGCATAGAAAGGTAATAAATATCACTCCGGTACTCAAATTTGTTATCATTAAGGCTCTTTATCCTTAATTTCAATTAGTCACCTAATTGTTCAGACTATGTCATATACATAATAAAATCTACTATAAGTATAAAGGCGCTCGTGGAATATAAGTTCGCATAAAACTTATTATCTAGTCGTTGAACGTTTATAGATTATTAATTTATATAATAAATCAATTTATCAACCGAGCAGATAGCTCGGCTGTATCCCCTACCTATCAGTTGAGAATATTTATTATTTTTTGATTTATAATTCAAATATAAATTATATGCAATCTATACTTCGCTGCAAATTTTCTTATCTTAAAATTATTTAGATAAGATGTTCTTGCAATTCACCTTTTTTTCATTTAAATTTTAAATTAAATGCGACAATTATATTAACTTGTTTTCAATTAATCAGTTTTTTAATTTTTCATTTCTATAATTTTTAGCTAAATTTAAAGCTTCTAATTTATCCATAATGATTTCAGATTTACTATTCATAAATGTAAAATATTTTTTATTTGGTTTAATTTTTATTGGTAATTTAACATTTCAACTTTTATTGTCATTTAAACTAATAAAATAATTATCATTTTGAACTTTATCAAAATAATCGTTTACCATTTTTATATAAAAATTATAATTTTTAATATTTTTATTATTATGTATTAAAGATAATAGTATAAGATTACTTTCTCTTCAAAATTTAACTTTATTTAATAAAAGACATGCTTTTTCTAATAAATATATTTGTTCAGATTTATTAAAAAAATATTGATTATATAATTTAAACTCTGATTCTAATAATTTCATATTTTTTATTGATTCAATCTTTAATAATATCATAGTATTATTTTTTGGATTCCCCGACCGACAGGTAGGGGATACTGCTGAGCTATCGCTCGGCCGATAAGATATATTACTAAGAATATTTAAATCATTTAAAAATAAAGATATTAATTTTAATAAATTATCATTATCTTTTGTATATTTTTGATTTATTATTAAACAAGGATTATATCATACTGATTTATCTTTATGTCTAATAAATATATCAAATGAACCATCACCTAAATATAAACCTAATATAAATGGTATACTCATTTTAGGTATATTTAATTTAATAATATTATTAAAATAAGTTTTTAAATAATTTAAATCTATAACAGCATTTTCTATTACTAAATTAATTTTTTCATTTAATGATAAAAATTTTTGTGAATTATCTACCATATTATAAACTAAATATATAAATTTTATTTTAAAATTATTATTATTAGAATTTATTCCTAATCGATGATCACAAGATAAATAATATAATTTTATTAATATTTTTAAATCTCGTTGTTTATCTCCATAACAATTATTAAAATAAGGTATTCATTTATTTATAATAATATCTCATTTTATTGTATATATTCTTATATAATATATACCTGATTTATTTAAATAAATTTTATAATTTAATTTATTATTAAATTCATTATTTAAATGTTTAAATAATTTTATAGTTTTATCACTTGCATATAAAGATATATATACTATAGGTTTAAAATCTATAGTATTAGGTTTAAATAATTCACCTCCTATATGTCCTTCTGCTTGAAATAAACCATTCATAATTAATCTAAAATCTTTATTAAAATTATCTATTTTAATTGAATTATTTGATTGTAATTCTTTAAGAATTTCTTCTTTTGAAGAATTTTTATCAGTTAATATTTTTTGTTTTATCGATGCTGGAGTAACCATTGCATTACCTGGTATATAATTATCTGCATGTCCTAATGTATTAGGTGAGAAGTATATAAATAAACTAAATATAAACATAAATACAAATACAGTTATTAAATCTTTAAATATGAAATAACTATGCATAGGTATTCTATCCATATTTCCTGATATTCCAACTGGATTACCTGAACCATGTACATGTAATGCCATAAAATGCATAACTACTAATGCAGCTAATATAAATGGTAATAAGTAATGTAATGCAAAGAATCTTTGTATTGTTGGATTACTTACTGAGAATCCTCCTCATATAAATGGAACTATATCATTTCCTAAAAAAGGTATTGCTGATAATAAATTAGTTATAACTGTTGCCAATATAAAAATATAATCTATTTGATATTTTCATATCATAATATTTATTATTTTATCTTAGAGCGAATAGCTTTAAGTATCCCCTACCTGTCGGTCGGGGGAATCAATAAATATTATTTGTTATCATAAATTATACCATGTACTTATTATCTTTCAATGAAAGTTTGTATTTATATATATAATTAATATATATATAATTAATAAGCCTTGTGAAATTTAAATAATTAATTTTTAAATTTATTATATCCGAGTGCACATTAAGCATCATTTCAGATACCTATCATTGAACCACTCTGTCGGGATGTTATAATCCACCCACGGTCTTGTTACATAACATATAATTTTGACCAGTTTTCAATAATATTGCTATATATATTTTTATTTATCATCATAAAAATGATGAGATATAAATTACACTTATTTTTTATTATAAATTACATAAGTATAGAACATAATTATTTCTTTTACAAAAAAAATAATATATTCTTATTATATATAACTATGTAATATACATTATTTTATTTTTTTTTTATTTTTAATTATTTAATTTATATTTCATACTTGAAATAATATATGGTTTAACTAATTTAACTAAAGTAGGCATTGATTCTACTCATATATATATATGATATTGTGTTTCTTTATCAGCCGACCGCAGTTCGGCTGTATCCCTAATCTTTACTTGGGGAATAGTTTTTTTATTAATACCAGCTATTTGATATGAAGATTTAATATTATATTTATTATCTAATATAAATATTAATAATTTAATATCTTCTAATGTAAATGAATTAGTAGATAATTTTAAACCTTTACCTACTTTAGCTCCATCATTCATAATTCATATAGCTAAAGCTAAAGGAGTTAAATATTCTCCTATATTATAAGGTATTCTTTTAACTTTATTAACATATCATTCAGCATATATTTTATTAAATTGATCATAAGTTCAAGTATGAAATCTTATTATATGTTTAATATTTCCATTTTTACCTAATCTAGTAGTAATTTTAGGTAATTTAGTATTACAATAACCTAAATTAGCTATTAAACTATGTAAATAATATAAATAATCAGAATGACTAGATTCTTGATAAAATGAAATTCTAGTACCTTTACCTCCATCACGTTTTTCAGCAAAAGCATCTCCTAATAAACTACCATAAATAATTTCTTTTATTTCATTATTTAATGGAGTTTTAAAATTAGTAACTTGTAAACGATTAATACATTCTTTATTTATTTTATATTCACTAGTATTCTTTGTAAATATACTTGAAAATAAATTAAATGAAAAAAAAATAAAAAAATAAAAGAAAATATATACATTTAAGGCAATTTCTTTACCTCAATGACTCATTTGTCCATAAACTAAACAGTACAAAATATTAACTTAAATAGTTAATATATTTCGACTATACATTAAGCATCATTTCAGATACCCATCAGTGTTCTAGTCTGTAGCGATCATTTATATAACCGACGGTCTTGTATAATAAAATATATTTTAACCGTTTTCACTAATGTTGCCTATATTAAATTATAATTTTTAATTTAATATAATAGTATAATATACTATATATCATTTACTCATTTTTCTTATAAAAGTTACAATGAGTATATACTATAAAAAATAATTTATATTTTATTGATAATATAATGATAGACTATCATATAATAAATATATACTTAATCAGTATAAGATATCCCTTTAACGTTGTAAAGGTATTATTTAATATTCCTGACCTAACGGTCAGAAATACTGCTGAGTTATCACTCAACTAATATTAAGATGGTAAAAAAGAATTTGATATTTTAAATTTAGTAAAATGTTTATATAAAACTAAAGAACCTTTTAATTTAATACTATTATTTAATTCATAATCATTTAAATATAATTGACTTTTATCAATATATTCAATTATAGAATTATATTTATCTATATGAGATTGATTTAATAAAGGTATAAATAAATTAGGTAAACAAATTGTACCTAATTTTAAAGAATGTTGTATAGTTTTATTACTACAACATAAATAATGAGCAGTTTGATTTATATTTTTAAAAGTACATAATATTTGATTAGTTTTAATACAAATAATATTAATTTCTTTATTTTTAATATTAAAATAATTAATTTTTGAATTTGAATAATTATCTTTAAAATTAAAAAGAATTTCTTCAGAATGTTTAAATCCAAAATTATTACCTGCTTCAGTTAATATATTATATTTAGGTCCAATTAATTTAATATAATAAATTTCAAGTAATATTAAATTAATATTATTATTTTTATTTATTATATCTGGATAATATTCTAATATTACATAATAAAAATTATTTAAACCATATTCTTTTATTGATTTATTTATTAATTTATTTCCATTTTTATTATATAAATGTTTTCTAAACATTTTATATAATTTATTTATTGAACCTGAACCTACATATGTATTACCTGTTATTTTATTTCCTATTAAATATATTCCACTTTTTCCTTTAACTTCTTTAGATATTTCTAAACATACATCTTTATTATCTAAATTATCTCATACTTTAATTGGTTTTATTCCTATATTATCTAATATAATATTTGGATCAGTCATATCTCTAGGACTTATATTTAATATTCCCCGACCCGTAGGTTGGGGATACGGACGAGCTATCGCGAGCCCGATAGTATTTTTATTATTTATTTCTATATGTTTATATCTTATTTGATTAATATATTTCATTAATTTATATATATATTTCTTTTTTACCTTTTATTAATTTTAATATTATATATTTATATGATTTTGGGCTACTTGATATAGAACCCATGAAAGCTGTTGCCATTGTTAAAACTAATATTATAACTCCTATTGTTCAAGCTAAAGTTCTTGGTGTTTTATAACTACCATAATATAATGCTTTACCAATATGTAAGTACATACATATAAAAAAGAATGATGCACCATTAGCATGTATGTAACGTATTAATCATCCAGCATTAACATCACGCATTATATGCTCTACACTTGAGAATGCTAATTCTATATGTGATGAATAATGCATTGCTAAAAATATTCCTGATAATATTTGTATTACTAAACATAAACCTAGTAAACTTCCTAAGTTTCATCAATAATTTATTGATGATGGTTGTGGGCTATCTATTAAATAACTATTAGCTAATGATAAATAAGGATTTGTTTTACGAATTGTCATAAAAAAAATTATATAATATTATATATTTAAATTTTAAAATTTTATTTTTTTATAAAAAAAATAATTTAATTAATTTTTTAAGAGATCATGATATAAATATATATCTAACAATGAATAATTTATTTATAGAATTTAAACTCCGTATAATAATAAGAATGATATTATTAAACAAAATTAAATATTTTTATATTATTACTCTTAAGTATCCACCGAGCAGTAGCTCGGCAGTATCCCCAACCGGGAGGTTGGGGAATTGAGTATACTTAGAGCTATCGCTCTTAGATATAATATAATTAATATTCCGTAATAAAATTTTTATATCTTAAATATAAGATAAAATAACTATGAATAATTTTTTATTATAGGGCTTAAACTCCGTATAATAATAAGAATGAAATCATAAGACAAAACAATCCACAAGCCTCTGCTAAAGCAAATCCTAAAATTGCTTGAGGGAATAATGTTGAACGTAATGATGGGTTACGAGCTGTTCCGTTTATTAAAGCAACGAAAACTAAAGCAATACCTATGGCAGCTCCTCCTAATCCTAAACTTGCTATTGCAGCTCCTATGTATTTTGCAGCTAATGCTAATTGCATATTTGTTATATAAACTTGAATATAAGTATAGAACTTCTCCTATTTATTTTTATCTTAAAACTATAACTAAAATTATATTTTAATTTAGAGTAATATATATATTACTTTTAAGCAGAGTATACAGCCGAGTTATCACTCTAAGATATAATTATAAAATTTTAACAATGAATATATTTTATTTTTATTCCTAATTAACATATTGGGAATAAATATTTAAGTAAAAAAAAAAATAAAAATATTTTTATTTTATGAAAAAAGATAAATTAAAGTGAATATGAACCCTCCATAGCACCTAATAATCAAGAATGTAAACCTAATTGAGCACTTTTAGCAGTAGCAGCTAATAATAATAAAATAGCACATAAATTTAAAATAGTAGTATCCATATGAGGAGTCATAAGAGAGATAGTATCAAAATCAACAGCATGACAAACACTAATAATAGTACCTAAGAAGATAACAAAGAAAGTATCACCCATACGATTTAATAAAACAGCAGATAAAGCACTTTTACTAGCAGCAATACGTGTACTTCAGAAAGAAATTAATAAATAAGAAATTATACCAACAAATTCTCATCCAATAAACATCATAACATAATTTTCACTTATAACTAAAACTGTCATAAATATAGCAAATACACTTAAAATCATTAAAAAACGATTACGATTAGGATCAGAATGCATATAATCAACAGCATAAAATAATACTAATAAAGTTACTATTCCTACTGGTACCATAACAACTAATGATAAACTATCTAATAATATACCAAAATTAACATTTAAATCTCCTATTGATATTCAAGTACCTAATGGTATTAATACATTAATTTCATTTATATATGTTAATCAATTCATTATATTATATTTGTTATTTTACCTCTTAATTTATAATAACTTACTAGTAAACTTAAACCTATTGCTGATTCTGCTCCTGCTAATATTATTATATATAATGCATATATTGTTCCTAATACATCATCATACATTCCTCCTATATATATTATTTTAACTGTTATTGTTAATAATAATATTTCTATTGCTATTAACAATGTTATTATATTATTTTGACTAATATAAAATGTTAATAAAGTTGTTAAAACTGATATCATAAAATTTTTTTTTTTTTTATTTTATTTTTTTTATTATTTCTTCTTTACATTTATATTTTAATTTATTTTATTATATATTTTATTATTATTAATAGGTATATATATAAAAATAAATATATAAAAAAATCTAAAAATTAATTTTATAATGAATATTATTTTAATAAAAAAAAATAAAAATTATGCATAATAATACAAGAGGATATATACAATTACATCCATTTCATTTAGTGAGTCCATCACCATGACCAATATATACAGCATTTAGTTTAATGAATTTAGCATTATCATTAGGATTAACAGCACATAATTATATAAATAATAATATATGAATAATATTAAGTATAATAACAGTATTATATAGTATGACATTATGATTTAGAGATATATTTGCAGAGAGTACATTTTTAGGAGATCATACAATAGCTGTTAAAAAAGGTATAATGCAAGGTTTCTTATTATTTGTATTAAGTGAAATATTAATATTTGCTTCATTATTTTGAGCTTATTTACATTCAGCATTAAATCCAACAATGGAAATAGGTATGAGTTGACCTCCAGCAGGAATAGAAACAATATCAGCTGATGAATTACCTTTATTAAATACTATAATATTATTAGCTTCAGGAGTTACTATTACATATGCTCATCATTCAATTATTAATGGTAATAGATCAAATACATTATATGGATTTATTTATTCAACATTATTAATTTTATTATTTGTTATATGTCAAACTTTAGAATATAAATATGCTCCATTTACTTTAACTGATAGTGTTTATGGTTCTACTTTCTATTCTACTACTGCTTTACATGGTATACATATGGTTATGCTATTTATTATGCTTTCTATTTGTACTATTAGAGTTTATTATTACTCTGTTACTGATACTAGTCATGTTGGTTTAGAAACTACTATTTTATATTTACATGTTTTAGATGTTATATGATTATTTATATACATAGTTATGTATTGATGAGGTACTTAAGATATAAAATAAAAAATATTCATTGTTATTTAATTATACCCTATTACTTTTAAAATATATATTATAATTATTACTCTTAGATACTTTTTAAGATAAAAATTAAATAAATATTATTACTCTTAATTATAGTATATTTATAGCTATAGCTCTTAGATAATATAATTATTATTAATTATACCAAGAATTAAAGATATAAAAAATAAAAAAAAGTAAATCTTAAATTGGTAAGTATCTAATATATAATTTCATATTATATGAAAGGAATATTATAAATATAGGAATTGAACCTATATTTACTATTATACTTATCTAAGAGCTATAAAATAAAAAATAAATTTAAATATCAAGGATGTTTTATTATTGAATCAAATATAACTGAAGATAAATATATTGGTTATTCATATAATAATTGTTCTAATGTAATAAATAAATTATTAATTTCAGAAAAAAAAATAAAATAAAAATTATTATTCCCAACCTAGATAAAGTGTTAATTAAAATAATTAGAAGTAAATTAATTATAGTATATAACTATAAAAAAATATAAAACAATGAATAAATGAAATGTTAAAATAAAATTAATTCTAATGTAGATCAATAGAATCTTTTAAGTATCCACTAAATAAGATACAGAAAACGTAACTTTGAATCATAGAAATAGCAACTTCTAATATAATAATTGCTATAACTGCTATCATAGGTACAATACCTCCTATAAATGTAAATAATGAAACTGACATTAAATTAAATATTAATGAACCTAAAATTAACATTAATAAGTGTCCTGATAATCGTGACATAATCACATATTATCCTTTTATTTACCTCTGTAAAGAAGTAATTTAAATTAAATATTTATAAATAATAAATCCTCCTAGTAAAAGGGAGGGATGCCCAATATATATATAGTTGGGTTATAAAATAATAAGAATGAAATAAAAAAGGGATGTATTTTACTATGTAATAACAAATTAAATAATTTTTATAATATATCTTTCTTTAAAAGGTTTATCTTTTTTATTTTTTTTATAAGTAGATATACTAGATTGATGTAGACCAATAGCTCTACTAGCTTCTCCTACAGAAGGATAAATAGTAACTTTTTTAGTTTTCAAATCAGTTATTTTTAATAGATTATATTCTGGTAAATATTTTTCAAAAAAAAAATAAAAATAATATCTTACTTTACTTTATTAGGCTAGGTATTATTTTATAATATAAAAGGATAAATTGTGATATCTTTAATCTTAGATTACTTAGTTTCGTCTAAGAACCGGCTTTCCCGGCGACTAGAGTACACCTTACAATTATATTGTTATAAAATATGTATATAACTATTTAATCGAAGAACCGTCTACTCGTTGCTCTTTTACAATTAAAAAAAAAAAATAATTGATTTAGATCCGCGATCACCCATTTATGTTATCATAATCTTTAATGATATTACCATACCTTGAATCATTAATCAAGCCAGTTAAAAAGTTTCCTTTAAAACCTTGGTTATTAAAGCTTTAGGGCTTCCCCGGAGTTTGGCTCTTATACGCATTAAAAAAATATAAATTAATATATTTTTAATTATACGTTAGCTGATAAACGTAAACCTAATGATAAAGCTCTTGAACTATATGATAAAGTTTCGATTAATACTAATACAGGAACTAAAGGTAAAGGAGTACCACTTGGTACAAATAATGAAAAGAATGTTAAACCATGTTTGTTTAAACCAATAATAGTAACACCAAATCATAATGATAAACTTAATGAAACTATAGCAACTATTTGAGCTGATATAGCAAATGAATAAGGTATCATTGATATTAAATTAGCTAATAATATAAAGTTAAATAATGTAAATATTAATGGGAAATAATATCCTCCTTTATTACCTACTTGTGAATTAACCATATTTAAAACTGTATCATATATAGCATTTATTGCTACACCTCAACGTGTTCAACCTAATTTAACTCCTTTTGTTAATGCTAAATATCCATATATAAAACTTATAACTAATATTAAATATATTACATAATTAGTTATACTAAATGTTATATTACCATTTATTATTAATAATGGTTTTAATTCGAATTGCTCTAGTGGTGAGTAAATCATAATAATTTTTTTTATTTTTATATTTTATAATATATACCAACTGTAACACAGGTTTATTATAAAATTATTTTTTTTAATATAAATTATAATTTAACTATAATCATACGTGCAACTAATAATCTTAATATTTCTGGTAATATTCTTGTACTAACTATAAATAATATTATAGATAAACCTAATATACCAAAAGTTAATAAATTCATAAAATAAAATGGAACTAATTGTGGCATTTATTAATAATAAATAATTATGATATTTAATATACATATATATCTTAGAGCGATAGCTCTAAATATACTCTATTCCTCAACCGGGAGGTTGGGGATACTACCGAGCTACTGCTCGGTGGATATTTAAGAGTAATATATAATTTATTCTAAAAAAAAAATAAAAATATAATTTATTTAAACTATCAGATAGAAAGGACTCGAACCTTTATGCTCCAATACCCAATATTGACACGTGACCAATTACGCTACTATCTGTTAATTAGCTAGATTTTGTATATATAAATATAATTTTAATTATTATCTTATAGCAATAGCTAGGCAGATAATATATATAAAAAAAAAAAGAATAAATAATTATTTCAAAATATAAAATTATTAAACTAGACTTCATATAAGAAGATAGAGGGAATTGAACCCTAATAGTACGATTTGCAATCGTATAATATAACCATATATACTATCTTCAAAATTATGACAAACGAGAATCGAACTCGTATACTTACATTGGAAGTGTAACAGTTTACCAATTAACTTATTGTCATATATTAAACATATCGAGAATCGAACTCGAATACCCACTGTGAAGTAGTGGTATCATACCATTAGATCATATGTTCATATGCCCTAGGTTGGTCTCGAACCTACTATCTTTCGATTACAAAACGAATGCTGCACCTATTTAGCTTCTAAGGCTTTCCTATATTATTAATTTCTTAATACTCCCAGACCTCAAGATAAGGGATACAACCTAAAAATCAAGCTATATATTAATTAAATATTATTCAATCTATAAGTTATAGATATATAAATTAAATAATTAATTAATTAATTAATTAAGAAATAAAAAAAAATAAAATAAATGTCTAAAAAAGGAATTGAACCTATATTGAATGCATATGAGGCATTAGTTTTACCATTAAACTATCTAGACAAAGGGTAATTATTCAGAATTGAACTGAAATTCTTTGATCCACATACAAATGTATTAACCATTATACGATAACTACCATGAGGAAGGACTGAATCGAACAGTCGCAGTCTATGACATTAAATTTACAGTTTAACTCTAATTACCAACATTAGAACTTCCCCCTCATTTTGCGGTTAGTAGGAGTCGAACCTACACGAATTAAATTCAGAACATCTTAAGTATTCTATGTCTACCATTTCATCATAACCGCTTACCTATTACTTATTTTATTATACAACCAATAGGTTTAGGATACTTATAACTATAACTATAACTCTTAAATATTTATTTATTTATCTCTTTTAAATAAATATAAGTATACTCTACTTAAAAGTAAAATATATAATAATGAAATAAAACAATGAATAAATAAAATTTAGAAGTGTATAAATAAATATTATTCTAAAGTATCCACCGAGCAGTAGCTCGGCAGTATCCCAACCTCCCGGTTGGGGAATAGAGTATATGAACGAGTTATCTTAAATAAAATAATTATACTGTATGGGTAATTAAATAAATAAATATAATAATTTAGATAAATCTCATTCAAGTATAGAACTTATGTAAGAAGGTCATATACCAAAAATAACAGTAGGAATAATTAATAATAATAAAATAACTTGTTCACGATAAATTAAATCAGCAGTTAATTTCATTGAAGGTATTTTAACACCACCAGTTAATCTATTAGTTAATTTTAATTGATAAGAAGCACTTAAAAGAACAGAAATAGCAGCTATTGAACCTAAAATAGGTGAACGCATAATAGCACCTGATATACTTAATAATTCTCCTATAAAATTAACTGATAATGGAGCACCTATATTACAAAAACTTAAGAATATAAAATAAAATGAAAATATTGGCATATAAGATATTAAACCTTGATAATAATAAATTAAACGATTATGATAACGTGAATATAATGAACCACCTAATAAAATAAATAAACCAGGTGATACAAAACCATGAGCTATTGATAATATTAAACTACCATTTAAACCAATTAAATTATTAGAAAATATACCTAATATAGCAACAGCCATATGTGATATTGAACTATAAGCAACAATAACTTTTAAATCAGTTTGTCTTAAAGTTATTATACTTGTATATATTATTGTTATTATAGCTATAACATATATTATTGGTGTAAATAATATTGTTGCATCTGATAATGTTGGTATCATTAATCTAATAATACCATAAATAGCTAATTTTAATAATATACCAGCTAATAAAATTGAACCAGCTAAAGGACTTTCTGAATGAACAACAGGTAATCAAGTATGTACTGGTACTAATGGTGTTTTAACTGCTATACCTATTGATATAGCTAAAAATAATATACATTGTAAATCTATAGATAAAACAACTAAACCAGTTGTTTGATAATCAGTTGAACCTAATAAATATTGATATAAAGCTATAGCTAATAACATAAATAAAGATGATAATAATGTATATATTAATATATAATCAGCTGCTTTATCTTTATTTGAAGCACCATAAATACCAATTAATATAAATAATGGAGCTAAAGATGCTTCAAAAAATATATAGAATGTTGTCATATCTTGACACATAAAATTCATTAACATTATTAATCCTGTATATAATACTAATTCATAATATAAATTACTATTAATATTATTTCAATTAGATAATATACTTATTGGTAATAAATATAATGTTAATAATATTAATGTATCTGCTATTCCATCAGTTGTATAATATACTCCTAATTCATTTCATGAATATAATGTTGGTATTGATATTAATATACTTGCTACTAATATTATTTGTTTACTTATTGATGGTAATACTTTAAATAAATAATTACTTATTCCACTTAATGTAAATATACATATTGCATTTAATAACATTTTTTTTGTTTTTTTTTTATTATAATAATAAATAAATACATTGATTTGATTAATGGGATTTGAACCCATAAATAATTAGACCTAAACTAATCGCGTATACCAATTCCGCCATAATCAATTTATTAATAACGAATGCAACGTGATTCGAACACGTGAATCTTAAGATTGTAATATCTCAAATATTATGCTTTAAACCACTCAGCCATACATCCTTACCTAATATATTTATTATATAATTCTTAGATAAATAAACAATGAATATGTATATAATATTAATAATAATTAAAATATTAATAGAATTTAATAATCTAGAGATACCTGTACTTCCAAATACTCTTAATAAACCTTGATCAATATTAGTATTTAATAAACCACCTAAAGTTAATACTGGTCTAATTAATTTATTATTTAATATTTGATCATAATATATACGATTATTAAAGAATGTATAAAAACTATTATTAAATAATTTATAACTAAATTCATAAATATATAATAAAGAAATAGATAAAGAAATACCTAAAATTAAAGGTAATAATTTAAATATAGCAGGAATAGTATATTCAGTTTCAATTCAATGATTAGTATGAGGTAAACCTAAAGTTAAATCAAATACAACAGTATCTCTTCAATAACCTAAATAAATTGAATAAATACTTAAAATAAACATTGGAATAGCCATAAATTTACTTTCATGTATTTGTGAATAAGTATATTTTGAACCATTAGGAATACTATAAAAAGTTAAATACATAACTCTAATACTATATAAAGAAGTTAAAGTAGCTGAAGCAGTAGCTATATAATAGAATATATAACCACTAATACTATATGAACCATATAAAGTTTCAATAATAATATCTTTAGAATAATATCCTGTTAAACCAGGTATAGCCATTAAAGATAATGAAGCTATTAACATAGTAGTATAACTATAAGGAATATAAGATATTAAACCTCCATATTTTCTTAAATCTTGAGTTTCAGATATATAACTATGTATAATTGAACCTGCTGACATAAATAATAATGCTTTAAAGAATGCATGACAATATAAATGATAAATAGCTAAATCATAAGCACTAGTACCTATACTTAACATCATCATAGCTAATTGTGACATTGTTGATAAAGCAATAACTCTTTTTATATCATTTGTTACTATAGCTATTAAACCACTTACTAATGTTGTTATACCTCCTAATCATAATATTGTTATTAATACTGATGGTGTATATTCTAATATAAATGATGATCTTACTAATACAAATACTCCAGAACATACCATAGTTGCAGCATGTAATAAGGCACTAACAGGTGTTGGCTAAAAATTTTTTTGGACTATATCTTCAATATATTAATCATATTATAATTTAACTATATATTATGATTATAAATTATATATTGTTTCACATTTAGTCTCTGAGGTATTATATTTATATATTACCTGCTGATTAATAAATATTATATTTATTTTTCAGCTATCCTTTTTTATTGATTATAAGGATTCCTTATTTTAATTTAAGGAATATAGTGAAATTTATATGAGGGCCCTAAAACTCTCCTTCCTATTATACCAGCTATTAACCTAAGATACATTTCTATAAATTAATTTATTATCTTCCTCCCAATTAAGAGTATTTTTATAAGATATATTTATGTATCGATATAACGATAATTATATTTGAGTAAAATAGGAATCGAACCTATATTAGTTGATTAAAAGTCAAGTATCTTACCATTAGATGATTTACCCTATAAGATATATCATCTTAAAAATAAAAAAAATAAAAATAATAATTGAATATATATTACTCTTAAGTATCCGCCGAGCAGTAGCTCGGCAGTATCCCCAACCGGGAGGTTGGGGAATTGAGTATACTTAGAGCGGAAGCTAGGCCGATAAAAGTAAAAAATGCCAGAACTGAGAGTTGAACTCAGACCAGTCGCGCTTCAAGCGAATGCTCTACCGATTAAGCTATTGAGGCACAAGAATAAGTAGAATCGAACTACTACATTGTGTGTTGAAGACACAGGCTCTACCACTTAAGCTATATTCTTATTTCCTATATATATATTTTACTCTTAAACAGAGTATACTTAAAGCTATCACTATAAGATAAATATATTAAGAATTATAATTTATATTACTCTTAAACAGAGTATACTTCCTAGCTACCGCTCGGCCGATATATAAGTCATATAGGACTTGAACCTATCTTTTAAATGTGTAAGATTTATGATTTAACCAACTAATCTAATGACTTTAAAATATATAAAAATATTAATCATGCTAGGAATCGAACCTAGATAATTATATTAGAAGTATAATGTTTTACCTTTAAACTACATAATTATATAATATAATTTTAATTAAGAGTATATCCCTTACCTACTCAAAAAAAAAAAAAAAATATTATCTAAATATACTCTGCTTAAAAATAATAATTATTTAATCATAGTATATTTATAATTATTGTTATAAGATAATAAATGGGGAGGGGAAAATAAATAAAAAAAAATAAATTTTATTTAACAATGAATAATTAAAAATAATAAATCCCGATCAGGTTCCCCTAATCGAACCGTATTTCAACTTACAGGAGGTCATAATTTTCAAAGTGCCTGTATTATCCTAGTGTTAACTAGGGTATATTTTAAATCCAAAGGATAATAAAATAAAAAAAATATAGGCGGTTTTACTTCTTATTTCTTCCTATTGATGAGTGGTTAGTACGAAATAGTTATAAGTTTCACCACTGCACACTACTCAGTGATTACTAGTAATTCCTCCTTCACATAAACGAATTTCAGTTTATGATCCATAAAAAAATAATGTAATTTATATTAATTAAATATCAATATTAATACTATTGTTTACAATCTTGTAATACGTCTGTTACCCATCTTATAAGGGTCATCCGGATTAGTCTTCATCCTCTTCTTCCTATCTTTAATTACAAAGATACTTTATTTATTATATAATAAATTAAGGATTACGTTCATTCTATAACTTAATATAAAACCTCGGGGCATGAACTGACGACAATGATGTAACACCTGTTTAAAATTCAAAAGATGGTAAGGTTAATGGCGGATCATCCAATTAAACGACATATTCCACTACTGGTTACTATAACCGTCTAATGTCTTGTATTTCACTCTTGCGAGCGTACTATTCTGGCGGAATACTTTTCATTTTCATTTTTTTATATATAGTATTCATAGTTAACTGCTAAGACTACATGGGATACTATTCCATATCGCTACCTTAGCCTTCATCTCACAACGTCAATTTATAATTTGTTATCTCTTTGCAGTCTTTATATTTTCACTGGATTTCATCCCTTGTATACAATTTCTTATAACTTTTTATAAATTCTAATAATTTTATTAATTAATTAAATTAATAAAAATAATATCGTACTACTGATTCTTTAAGCCAATATGATTAATGCTTGCCCTCTATGTTTAACCGCAGCTGCTGGCACATATTTTAGTTAGGACTTTATATATTCAATCATTATTTTAAATATATTTTTAGATTTATAGTTCTTCTTTTATTTAATAATTTACTTTTTTATTTCGAAAAATAAAAAAAATAATAATAATTTTCTCTATAATAGATAACTTGATCAGTCGTTAGACCATTGTCAAATATTCCTCACTGCAGCATCTTGTAGATGTTAAATTTTACTTTAATGTGACTATTCTAACGTTAATTATTAGTTCCAGTTCTAAGGCTAAACTTTTGTTTAATACCTACATCTGATTAATATTTTTTCAAATTAAATTAAATTAATTTGTTCTTTAAAATTTATTAAAGAAAATATATTTTCACTCACCTGTACGCTAAATATAATTTAACTAGCATGTGTTATGTCTCTATCTAGCATTTAATCTGAATCAACATCATATTCTCATTATATATATAATTTTCTTTAAATTACTCAGAATCGAACTGAGATACATCCATTATGAGTGGACTGCTCTACCATTGAGCTATAATTTATTTATTATGTACAGTAAATAGATTCGAACTATTATTATAACGACATGAGCGTTATATGATACCATTACATTATACTGTCTACCTATTTTTTTTTTATTTTTATTATCTTAGAGCTATCGCTCTAAGTATACTCTATTCCCCAACCGGGAGGTTGGGATACTGCCGAGCTACTGCTCGGCGGATACTTAAGAGTAATATAAATCTAAAATTATATTATTTAATTAACTATGAATATGTATACCTTAAAATTTATTAAATTAAATTAATTTATTAAATTAAACTTTATTAACTAAAATTGGTAATTCGTTGAATGTATGATATTGAGCTGGACGACTTAATATTAATTCTAAATCACTTACATGAACTTCTCTATTTAAATTAGATTCTGTAAAGTCAGGTGTAACTTTAATTTCTTCTAATTCATTCTCTCCATTTTCTATTTGAACTAAAATACTTTTTAATCCAGCTATTAATGAAATAACAGATATAGCTGATCCTATACTTGATATATAGTTTCAACCTAAGAATGCATCAGGATATTGTGGTATTCTTCTAGGCATTCCATTAAGTCCTAAGAAGTGCATTGGTAAGAATATTATATTAACTGATATAAATAATAATCAGAATTGTATTTCAGCTCAAACTTTATTATAGTTTAATCCAAACATTGTTGGACCTCAATAATAGAAACCTCCTATTAAACTAAATATAGCTCCCATTGATAATACATAATGGAAATGCATTTTTTTTTTATTTGGACTATATCTTTATTTAATTTATTTTTTATGATTTTATACTTAAATAAATTTTAAGTTAAATTAAATAATTGACTTTTAGTCTCTGAAAATCCTCTTGTATGAAGTTTTCTGCTGATTGTATAATTTAAAATAATTATTACTATTTATCTATTAATTGAGTAATATATTTTACTCTTAAACAGAGTATACTTATAGCTATCGCTCTAAGATATAAAAAATAAATAGTATATTTTAATTATCTCATAATTCCCCAGGCCACAGGCAGAGGGGATCCCTCCCGCTTCCGCGGGGGGGGGGGGATTTAATGAGTATAGTTTCCAGCATATAGTCAATTGCATATATTATATAATAAAATCAATTATATAATAAAGGGCCATTTGACCTACTACATAATAAGTCAATAATTTATTCTTATCTTAATATAATTGAACTATTATTTGATCAATATAAGATAATATAACCATATTTACATATGGGATTGGACTATAACTTATAGATTAATTAAATTTAATTATCTATTTCCATATTTAGTCTCTACAATAAATTAAATATATATAATATATTATTTAAATATCACGGTATTGTTTAATAATTATTAAATTTCACCGTTAGCTATACATTACTATTTTATTAAAAATATTACTCTTAATTATCCGCCGAGCAGTAGCTCGGCAGTATCCCCAACCTCCCGGTTGGGGAATAGAGTATACTTATAGCTACTGCTATTAGATAATAGTATAACCTCATATAATATACATATAATATTGTCCTAATTAATATTAGATCATATATTTTATATGTTATTAATCCCTCGTAAAACGATAAGGATATCCAATATATAGTTGGATAATATGATTAATGGAATAACATGACACTTATTTTTTTTTTATTATATCATGGAAAGCTACATCTATTGATGCATTTGATAACATAACTCCTGTTACAAATAAATATTTTTATTCATTTTTTTTATTTTTTTTTTATCTAAGTACCTTATATAACTAAAATAGTAATTTATATTCTTATTAGTATATAAACTATTTAATTTAGCATGTTTTTTTTTATAATACATTATTATTTTTAACATTTTGAGAATAAAAACGAATAAAATATTTGTTTAATGGACTATATCTTCTAATAATTATTTTATCTTTATACTCCTTATTGTTTGATATGTTACTTTCTTTTTCAAAGGAAGTAATTTTTTTACTATATGAAAAAAGAGAGTATTTAAATAAATTAATGGTAATTTATCTTTCAAGTAAAAGTTTTTATATTACTCTTAAGCAGAGTATACTTAGAGCTATACGCTCTAAGATAAAAATAAAATATATTATTAGGATTACATGTAGTCTCTGTGGATCCATTTAATATATAATTCCCCAGGCCAAAGGCCGAGGGGATACTGCCTAGCGATAGCTCGGCCGATTATAAGATTTTTTATTATATATTATTTTGTTTCCTGCTGATTGTTTAAAATAATACATTTTAACTTTATTAATCTTTTTTGTATATTTTCAATTTGAAAAATTATTATTACTCTTAAGTATCCGCCGAGCAGTAGCTCGGCAGTATCCCCAACCTCCGGGTTGGGGAATAGAGTATACTTAGAGCGATAGCTCTAAGATAAATAAAAAGATAATATAAGTAGTATTATTGTAAAAAGTTTTCAGCATATAGTAATCTTTAAAAAGAGAGCTAACAGATATTTTAACCCTCCAACAGTAAATAAGAATAAGAAAGCAATAGCAAATAACATTGGTACAGCTAATCTTATTTCTCCTCCGTATAAAGTTGCTCAAGAATATAAGTCTTTTATCATTTCAGATATAGTTAACTTATAATATCAATAATTATTTATTATTTTTAATATATATTCCAATAGAATATAAAATACTCCCCAACCTGGAGGTTGGGGATACTGCCGAGCAATTGCTCGGCCGATAATTATTTAAATCTATAAAAATTTTTATATTTTTTTTTTTAAGATATAAAAATTAAGATTTAGCCATTACTGGTGATTTTGGATTATACCTTAAATTATCATATTTATAACTATAAATCAATCCACGATTGAATTATATTTTTATTTAATTTTATTAAATTAAATGTATATAAACTTAGATTAATCTGGAGCGTCTAATCTCTACGCTTTTACATAATAGTTTCCTAATTATGATTTAGTTCGACGATTATCCTAAATATATTGTTTTATCTATAAGCGATAGCTTTATAGTATACTCTCTAATTGAATTAAGAGTAATATTATTTTATATTAGGACTTCTCCCGAGTTTGCCCCATATTTTATATTCTTCAATATTGAAGATACTTTTTTCAAAGTAAATAATTTTTTTTTCACTTATTTATTTATTTTTTTATTAAATTTATATTTCATACTTGGTAAAATATATTGTTCAATATGAGGATATAATAATTTAACTGATTTAACATTAATATAAATAACAAATAAATTTCTTGATTTATGTATTTTACAATTTAAATTAAATTTTCTTTTAAATATATCTACTAAAATAGTTAATTCATAATGAGTAAATGATTGTAAATTTAATATTAATCCTTTACTGGTAAAAGAACCATCTCCCATAATAATATGAGCTAAAACTTCATAATTAATTAAATAATAAATATTATATGGTAAAACTTTAATTCTACCATTATAAAACATACGTCTTAATATACTAAAACAAGGTAATGCTTTAGTGTATAATTCAACTGATGGATAATTTTTACCTTTTAATTTACTTAACTTTAAAATAGGTGGTTTAGTACAATAATGATTTAATTTTGTATAAACAAATCAAACATATTCAAAATTATTTAAACTTTGTTTAAATTTAAATCTAGAATTTGAATTAATTAATAAACCTTTATTATATAATATTTTATCATTATAATCAAATGTTAATGGCTTATTAAATATTGAATTATCTATATTTTTTTTTGATTTATGTTCTATATAACCATCAGATAAAATTATACCTATAATCATTGGTAATAAACTATTAGGTATATTTATCATATTTCTAATAATAGATGTATAAAATGGTAAATGATTAACTGATTCTAAATTAGAACCATAAAATACTATATCTTTACATATATTATTTGGTTTAATATATTTAATATTTGATCTTTTAAATATTTTTAATAAACTTTCATTATTTATATCTGGTAAAATACATTCATATTTATTCCCCCAGACACAGTCAGAGGGGATCCCTCCCGCTTCCGCGGGGGGATTATTTATATTCTCATATTTAATATCTATACCATTATATGCTAAATTATAAAAATTAATTTTTCGTTTTATATTCTCATCAACTTTATTCTTAACTTCTATAGAAGAATTATTTATATCTTCACTTAAAGATTTATATATAGAATATGTTGATTTATTTCTTATAAAATTTATGGGTTTATAAAAATATATATTTTTATCGGCCGAGCAGATAGCTCGGCAGTATCCCCAACCAGAAGGTTGGGGAATATTTATATTTTTAAAATAAATAAATGAATGTGAAAAAGAATTATTATATTTTTTGGCCAAGCTATTATTGTTCTTACTAAAGGAACTGTTTAGCCATGAGAATATTTTAATTCCTGTTGGTACAGCAATTACCATTGTTGCAGATGTGAAATAAGCTCTTGAATCTATATCTAATCCTACAATATACATATGATGCTTAAATTTTTAATTATCTTAGAGCAATAGCTCGGCCAATAATTAAAAACTAATGGACTATATATTATACTTATAATTTATTCATTAATTTAATTATTTTTTTTATAAGTATTTTCACGTATAGTCTCTGAGGATCCTAATAAGATAGATTTTATCTTATTTAGTTTCCTGCTGATTAGGTATTTTTTCATATAAAAAAAAAAAAATATATAATCCTTTCCAGCATATAGTGAAATTTATTACCTTAAACTTACGAGTAAGGAAAGCCATACATTGACTTCAAACTAAGAATCCTAATAATCCAATTGATCCCATAGCATAAGTCATACCTAATGCTCCGAATATTGGTTTTTTAGAATATGTTGATACTATATGTGAAATTATACCAAAACCAGGTATAATTAAAATATATACTTCTGGATGACCGAAGAATCCGTAACCTTAAAATATATTATTTTTCACTCTTTCTTATTTCAAAAAAAAATAAGATAATATATTCCTCATTAAATCTTATTTAATTTATTTTTGGTCATATAAATAAGATTTCTCATTTTATATTTTATCTTAAAGCTATCACTCTAAGTATACTCAATTCCCCAACCTCCCGGTTGGGGATACTGCCGAGCTACTGCTCGGCGGATAATTCAGAGTAATAAATAATAAATTTTATTATTTTTATTTTATGAGTACTATGACCTAATAATTAAATATTAGAGGTTCCGACTGTACATTAAGCATCATTTCAGACACCCACTATAGAAGCAGTCTGTAGCGATTACTTATATAACCGACGGTCTAAATCTGAGAATCGTTGACCGTACCTATAGTGTTGCTTATATTAATATAATTATTCTTTATAAGAATTTTTTATTCTTCAATAAATATATTGAAGATATGATTGAATTAATATTCAAATAATAATTATACTTTTATTTATTATTCTTTTTATAACTTAAATTTAATTATCGTGGAATAAAAAATAATAAATATCCTATTAAGGCATAATATAAACTAGAATTAAGGTATATGTTAAACATATTCAAAATATAAGATCTTATTTACTTTTACATTTGTCTTATATTTTTCTATATAACTTACGTTAGACCTTATCCTTTGTTCCAATTTCAACGGAATTATTTATTATCTTATCGATATTTGGTTTATCTCCAACCGATGGTTGGGAAATATTAACTAATTTACTTAATTTAATTAATTCTAATCTTTTTATTGGATCTTTATGATCCCCATTTTCTATTTTATTTAATATTTCTTTTCATTTATTATATGAATTCGATTTAGTTAATAATTTATTTTCATCAAAATAAAATAATATTTTTTTACAATTTTTTAAACCATTAAAACGTATTTCTCAACAATCACTTGCTGAATGAGGTAATACTATACCTAATGTTTTTTTTGTTTTATTATGTATATTAAATAAATTTAATATATGTTCTAATACATATTTATTAGCTTCATATTTTTGAGTTAAAATAAATCTAACTCTATAAGCTATAGTTCCATTATTAAGTATAGAACATGTAAAACAACCTTCACCATCTGTGAATCCTAATAATCAATTATCTTTTAAAGTTGGTAATTTACAATAATTTTTTAAAGTTAAAATTTCTTCATTATTTTTAACTAATTTAATATTTAATTTAGCTATAAATTCACTAAATTTAATATATCTAATTGGTAATACTAAATTACCATTTAATAATAAACATATTATATATATTTCTCTTTTTTTAGTTATAACTCATTTATATATTGATTTCTCTTTGTTTTGAGCTATTACACTTCCAAATCCAAATTCTTTTTGTATATATTTTAATATTTCTTTATCTTTTTGAGTTACTCTAATAGCTAAATCTCCTCTTTCTATTACTGAAAAATTACCTTCACCTTCAAAAAATCCGATAAATCATTCTAAAAATTTAGAATTAGGTAATTCATTTCTTGGGTAAAATTTTTTATATAAATTATAAAATTCTAAAAAATCAAAATTTTTATAATTTATATTTATATTAGTACTGGTTTTATTTAATACTAATTTTTTTATAAATTGATTATCTTTATTTTTTAAACTAATTAAATTATAATAAAAAAAATAAAATAAATTAAATTTAATTAAATAATATATTAATATTATTAATATTCCTCAACCTATAGTTAGGGATATATTTTCATATTGTTTAGATAATAAATAATATATTATATAGAACAAATGTTGATATAATACAGGATCTCCTCCAGCTCCTACTTCGTAGAAACCAGTATTAAAATTACGATCCATTAATAATAATGTAACTCCAGCTGTTAATACAGGTAATGATAATAATAATAATATAGCTGTAAAGAATACTGCTCAAACATATAATGGTGAATTTATCATATGTAATCCTATTGTTCTCATATTTAAGAATGTTACTATAAAGTTTATAGCTCCTAATAATGATGATATACTTGTTAAATGTAATGCAAATATTGCTAAATCTACACTAGGTCCTGAATGTGAACCTATTGATGATAATGGTGGATAGCTTTATGTTTATAATTACATATAAATATATTTATATATATATTTATACTCATATTATATCAATTATTTTCATAATTGTTCGGACTATGCCTTATATATAAAAATTTATTTATGTTCAAAATAATATTTTATGTTTAATTTTCTAATTTGTTCTTGTATTTCATATAATTTATCATAATTATCTTTATATTTAAAATATGATCTTTTTCATATTGAAAACTCTAAATTCTTAGCTCCATAAAATAATATAGAACTATTATTACTTGTAAAATAATTAATAATAAATTTAATTGATCTATTATTAGTGGATTCAATAATATAAAAATTATATTTTTCTATAAATCTAATTGAAGATGATAAATGAAGTTTATATTTTAATGAATAAAGAATAATAGGATCTAATTTTTGTGATATACCAAATGCATGAACAATTCTATTTTCTTCTTTTTTTACTAAATAAAAACTACCTTTAGCTTCAATAAATCCTATTAATCATTCTTTAGACATTATTTTATTAATATCATTTACTGATTTAATATTAAAATAATTTAAATCATTTCAAATAGGTGATTGATAATTATCTGGTATTGATTTTTCTTTAATATTAGATATTAAATATAATTTATCTTCTTTAGATATATTTTCATCAAGATATATTAATAAAGATTCTCTAAATTTTAGATAATTATAATATTTTGAAGATAATAATATATGTTCATCAAATATTGGTAATATAACATCTTTTAAATGATTTAGTCTTCTAACTTTATAATTAGATATAAATTTATTATTACTTATACTTCCTACTCCTAAATTTCTCTTAATTAAATGTAATATTTGTTCATTATAAATACTTTGAGATAATTTAAATGTAAATGTAATATTTCCTTTTTTATTTAAATAAATATTAAAAATACCATCTCCATCTGTAAATCCAACTAATCATTTATTAAAATTAATATTTAATTTATCATTGCCTCCTTTGACTTTGTCCAAGGGAGAGTAATATTTTGATTTAATATTAAAATATCTTTTTTACATAAAGAATATATATTATTCTTTATAAACTTTTTATATATTATCATATATAGTCTCTGATGTATATCATTAAATAATGATATACAGGCATGTATACCTATTATTATAAAACTTTTAACTAAACTTATATAAAAGAATGAGTATTTTATAATATATGTTATAATAAACAATAAGGTGGTCCATGCATCAAATGATATTTTTATATTATTTATATATATTATAAATAATATCAGCCATAAATCAACCGTTCAACCTGTTCCTGCTCCATTTTCAATTAAAACTGAAGCTATTATACATACTAATGCAGGAGGTAAAGTTCAAAAACTTATATTATTTAATCTAGCAAATGCCATATCAACTGCTCCTATCATTATTGGTAAATAAAAGTTACCAAAAGCTCCAATTAAAACTGGCATTACAAATAAGAATATCATAGCAATAGCATGTCCTGTAACTAATACATTAAATAAATGATTATTATTATGTAAGAATTGAGCATTTCCTCCTGTTAATTCCATTCTTATTATTACTGACATAGCAGTACCAACCATACCTGAAACAAATCCAAATATTAAATATAAGATTGCTATATCTTTATGTGATGTACTAAAAAGTCATCTATCGATATATTTCATAATCTATATACATTATTATATTAATCACATATTATTATTTTTTTTATTTATCATAAAATATTTTAATATTACTCTTAAGCAAAGTATACGCTCTAAAATAAAAATTAAAATATATTACTCTGGTCGATTAATAAAAATAATCTTATTGTTATTAACAATTAAGATTCCCTTTATCAAGGAATAATAATAATTTTATATTTATTATTAGATTGTTAATAATAAATTTAAAATAATAAAATAAAAAAAAACCCCAATTACCTTTTATATATTTATATTATTTATATAAAAGCAATAGCTCTAAGTATACTCTGCTTAAGTGTAAAATATATATATAAAAAAAATATTAAGTATATAACCCGGCAAGTGGCCAAGAGGATTATTTAAGAGTGTAAGTTTAATAGTATATTATTACTTTTAATTATCCGCCGAGCAGTAGCTCGGCAGTATCCCCAACCTCCCGGTTGAGGAATAGAGTATATTTATAATTATCGCTCTAAAATAATAAAAAACAATGAATAAATTTAAAAGAATAAATAAATTTATTTATTTATTCCATATCGTTTAATGCTTCAATAAATTGATCAATTTCCATACATTCAATTTTAATAGGCATTAAACTATGATTAATACCACATAATTCACTACATTGTCCGTAGAAAACACCAGTACGTTGTATTAAAGCACTAACTTGATTTAATCTACCTGGAGTAGCATCAATTTTTATACCTAATGAAGGAACAGCAAAACTATGTATAACATCATTAGCTGTAACAATAAATCTAACATGAGTATCAACAGGAATAATAATTGAAGTATCAGTATCTAATAATCTTAATTGACCTTCTTCTAACATATCTTCAGGTATAATATATGATTCAAATTCTATTGTTTCACCATTAGAAGAAACAAAATCTGAATATTCATATTTTCAATATCATTGTAATCCTATAACTTTAATTGTCATAGCTGGAGTTAATACCTCATCACATAAATATAATAATATAAAACTTGGGAAAGCTATAACTAATAATATTACTGCTGGGAATATTGTTCATACTATTTCTAATGTTTGACCATGTGTTAAATATTTATATGATATTGTATTATTTTTAAAATTTTTTACTATTATAAATAATATATATGAAACTAATCCTAATATTAATGCTAAATAATACATTATATGATCATGTAATTCATGTATTCCTTCCATATTTGGTGAAGCTGAATCTTGTAATCTCATACCTCAAGGTGTTGGTACATCTAATCTTATCATTTTTTTTTGTTATTTTTTAATAATTAATTTTTTATTTTTTTTTAATAAGTATATTGGAATTAATCGGAATTGAACCGATATCAAACGCATGCAAAGCGAACGATTTACCAATTAATCTATAATCCCTTTTTTATTTATTATTTTTTTTATTATTATTATATATGGGGGGGTAATAAATAATTGAGTGGTATATGTTTATTATAAAATTAGTTTTATAAAATCATTTGGATTTATAATACTAAAACATATTAATCTAATATGTTATATAACTTATTATTATAGAATTTAATTTTTAAGATGCTTTCAAAATATAATTTCTATTATCTTGGCGAATATAACTGTTTATTATTATTATAATATTAAATAAAATAAAGTATATTATATTAACTATAGGATAATACCTTGCAATCCTTTCGTACACTCAAGGTTATAATATAAGTTAAATTCCATAGATGATAAAATCATTACTGACTCACGTCGTAATTAACCCATCTCAAGTAACTCTTTAAAGGACGAACAGTCCTACCCTACCTAGCTGCTACGACCAAGAGGATGAGTCTAGACGACCATTTTTGTTATAAAAATCTTATAAAAATAAGATTATATTTTTTTTTTAATAAATATTAAATAATTAAAATAAATTATTTAAATATTTTCCTAAAATAGGATAAAATATTTCTATATATTTCTTATATTAATTATATCTGTATAAATAAGAATAAAATAATTAATATATCTCAAAAATAAGAGAATATAGATCAGACTATGTCTTAAAAATTATAAAAAAAAATATAATTTTCTGGAAATTTCGTGGTAGGATTATTGTTATACTACTCACCTACTAGTCGTTGAACGTTTATATTACTTATAAATAAATTGTATATAATATATTTCGCTGCAAATTATCATAGTTAAAAACCTTAGACTTTCTTGCAATTAACTCCATTTAAACTCGACTATGGTTATTTAATCGAGGTGTCAAACACCGCTGACGATATCAACTCTCACGCGGTATTAACCTGTTATCCCTAGCGTAACTTTAATCCGTTATCGATATCCTAAATCTTTAGATGATACCTGTTCACTACACCATACTTAAGTATTAATTCCACTTGTTTGTGTTATTATTTTTGCACAGTAATGCTGTTATTCTTACATTTTTTACTTAAAAAAGTAATTATTTTCATAATTGAAAATAAATAATTATTTACCAAATAATATATCTGTACTGGTTCTTTTTATTAATTAAAAAAATTAATTTATATATTAATTTTAAATAGACACATCAGATGCTTTCTCTGATGTCGACTCCCCATCGAAACTAACCATTTGACAATGTTTCTTATAATTTAAAATAAATTAATATTAATAAGATAAGATGTTTAAATATTAAAAATAGATATCTCAATGAATTCATTCGAAAATCTAATTACTAAATAATAATAAAATAAACTATCAATATCAAACTATAGTAAAGCTGCATAGGGTCTTTTTGTCAACCTATGGAAACACGGCATCTTCACCGCGATTGCTATTTCACTGAGTCTATATTGGATACAGTTATCGCATCGTTTAATCATTCATGCGGGACCATAATTATTGGACAATGAATTTCGCTACCTTTGGATCCTCACGATAAGACCGCTGTTTATCTATTTTTTATTTATATTAATTTTGTAATATAAATTTATTAAGAGACACTGAGCAGATTTCACTTATTATACTAATTATTACTAATCTGCAATAAGCTGTGTTTTTGGTAAACAGTCGCACGATTTGTAATTTATTTTTACTTTTTGCCGAGTTCATTCAATATAGTTATCTCATTCTCCTTATTTCTATACCAGTGTCGGTCTACGGTACAGTTTATTTAAATTTTCTTGTTTAATTTACTCATCATTAAATTATTTCTAATTTTAATTTAGAGACTGATCATTTATGTTAAAGAACCTTATAGATTTGGAGGATACTCTATTAGTATCTATCGTTACTCAAGTCAGCAGTTTCTTTATAATTATTTTTTTTATATATTTCATTATATATTAAGCTACCTTATTTCCTACTTTAAAGCATTGAATTTAGACCAATATATCTTATCAAAAGAATATGTCACATTAGTGCATTGTTACATGTACATTAACAGTTGATTATTGTCAAACCCGCTGACTAATTGTCTACCTATATTCTTTTTATTTATTTCACTTAATTCAATTTCCGGGCTTTTATTTATGTAGTCTGGGCTGTTTCCCTTTCGACTTACTACCTTATCGCAGCAAGTCTGACTCTTAATTTTATGGTATGCTGTTCCGAGTTTAATAACTATTGATAAAATGTTTAAGTTCCCCAATAAGTTATCAGTGCTGTACCAGCTTTTATTTTTATTAAGGCTCTACTAATATAGATTTCGCTTAAAACCAGCTATCTGCATATCAGGTTTGTCTTTCACTACTACACACCTCTCTCAAAAGGTTATTGCTACAACCACTCCTATATTCATATTTCAATAATTATTATTTTTATATAATTGGAAATGTGTAGATCATATGCTTTCGGGTCTATTATAATTAACTTTAAATTGATTATTCTCAGATTACTTACAATTTTTTATAATTTCGCTAATTATAATAACTAACTGACCCATTATACAAAAGGTACGCCATACTATGACTGCTGTATATTCCACTATTTCAATTATTTCCCTCACGGTACTTACTCTTAATAATATTTTTAGTCTTAGGTTTAGATTACCTTTATTCATATTTTTTAATATTACTTACAGACTCATATTATTTCGTTCGCCACTACTTTAATATTCCCTGTTGGTTTCTTCTTTAAGTTACTTAGATGTTTCAATTCACTTAATTTTTTTTTTATATTTTCATACTTTGATTGAAGTTTCACTTCTTTTTATCATTTTTATTATTAGATTTAATTTCCTTAATAGAACATTTAATACATATACCTGTTTTCAATTATTTACCTATATTTTTATTTTATAAAAATTAAAAAGAGATATATAATACTCATAACCTCGGTATATCTTATTAAATTTAAAATTTATATATTAAATTGTATTTATAATTAAATATATTAAATTATATATATAATTATATTTAAGAATGATAATATAATAATATTATTCTTAAACAGAGTATACTGTTGAGCTATCGCTCTTAAATAATAAATTATAAAATATGGAATATAGATAAGTTATAATATATTTAATATTAACTATTTTATTTTATTTACGTCAAAGCTAAGAATCGAACTTAGATGAATGTATTAACAGTACATGGCTTTACCATTAAGCTACATTGACTTAATAATATTTTTACTTTTAAGTATCCGCCGAGCAGTAGCTCGGCAGTATCCCCAACCGGGAGGTTGGGGAATAGAATATACTTAGAGCTATCGCTCTATTATAAATAAAAAAATAAATTTAAAGAATAAAAAGTAAAAAGTATTACCTATGAATAGATATAAAAAATTATAATTTAATGAATATATAATTTTCTAATTAATTCTTTAGTTTTAATTTCAAATTTTCTTTCTAATTTTAAAGCACCTAAATTAATTTCAAAAATAAATGCAAGAACTAAAGTTAATAAGAATATAATTAAAATTATTAAACCATAAGAATTATTAGTATAAGCGCTAATAACATAAGGTAAAATAGAAGATATTTCTAAATCAAAAGGTAAGAATAATATAGCAACTAAAATAAATGCAACACTAAAAGCTGAACGTGATTGTAAATATGAAGTAAATCCACATTCAAAAGGTCCATCTTTTTCAACATAAGAATTTTGAACAGCTAACATATAATTAATACCAATTAATACTAAAGCAACTATAGGAGTTAAATATAAATAATAAATAAACATATTATATAATTAATATATATATACCTTGTAATATAATATCTAAATAAACTCAAATAAATATTAATAACATTGAACTAAAACTTATTATATAAGCTATAACAGGTGATATATTATTATTATTTGTTGATTCAGTATTTATCATTAATACTTTAATTATATTAGCATAAAAATATGTTGCAATAACACTACATATAACTATTAATAATGATTCAAATATATAATTTGAACTTAATGCACTAGTAAATATTAATAATTTAGCATAAAAACCAGGTAGAGGAGGTAATCCAATTAAAGAAAATAATGCTATAATTAAACAACCAGATAATGCTTTATTAGGTATATTTAATTGATGTATAAATGTAATAGGTGATCAAATAGTAGGAGGTGATGTTATATAATATGACATAGTTAATATAATAATAAATATTAATATATGAGTTAAAATATATTGTGATAAATATAAATAAAAACCAACTAATGAAACTTCATTATTAATAATTAAAGATAATAATAAATATGAAAAGTTTAATAAACCACTATAAGCTAAAATAGTTTTAATATTAATTTGATATAAAGGTTTGTAACAACCAATAATTAAAGAAGAAATAAAAAATATATAAATAATAGATAAATCTAAAGTAGCAGCTCAAGTTAAAATAAATGAAATAATAGAAACTTTAGCAACAATAGATATATATGCAGTTATATATGTAGGAGCATAATTATAAACAGCAATACTTCAACGATGTAAAGGAGCCATACCCATTTTAAACATTAAAGCTAAAATTAAAATATAATTAAATATAGTTAAATCAGTATAATAACTCATTGATCATATTTCACTTAAATTAGTTGTACCAGTATCTAAATATATAAAATATGAAGATAATAAAATTAAACAAGAAGCAATACCACCCATTAAAAAATATAATAAAGCAGCTCTAGAAGAATTATAAGATTTATTAGTTATACCAGTTAAAATATATAAAGAATAACTTTGTAATTCAATTAAAATATATAAAGATAATAAATCATTAACTAAAGGAAATAATAATAAAGCAATAGAATTAGCTAAAATAATTAAAGAGAAATAAATATTAGCTTCAATTTTAGAATTAGAAAAAGAGAAACAATTATAAGATAATAAAAAAATAATTAAAGAAAGAATAACAGTAATAAAATAATAATTATTATTATATATAATAAATCAATCATTAAATAAAGCTAAACCATTATTTAAAGAAATTAAATTAAATGAAGAATTAAAAATAATTAAAACGAATAACATAATTAATAAAGTTAAACGATTAAGTATAATAGGAGTTGAGTAAGTTGAATAAACTAATAAAGATAAAAATGCAATAGAAAGCATATGGAACAATAGGAATCGAACCTATATAAGATCATCCGTAGTGAACTGTACTACCATTATACTATGAACCATCGGATAACCAGTGAATCGAACACTGAAGATAAATATCACTACATAGCAAGTAGCTTGGCCTACCGATGCCAAGTTATCCTCGTCTTAGAACGGGTACGATCCGTCATCTTCAATATTGACAATATTGAGCTTTACCAATTAAGCTACTAAAACGTGAGTTAACATGATTCGAACATGTATAGGCCTAGCTCAAACCTAGGTGATTTGCCGATTAATCTATAACTCATATTAGTTTAATGAGACTCGAACTCATATCTAACGATTATCAATCATTCTCTCTACCTTTGAGATATAAACTATACCTTTAACATTATATATTTATTTAACTATATATCCCTACCTATTAATTAATATTCCCCCCCCCCCTAATCTAAAGTATATTGTGGAATTATTGCTTTTAGATAATAATAATAATAAAAAAAACAATGAATATATGTTAAATAAATAAATAAGCATCTAATAAGAATAATAAACTAGGTATATATAAAGCTAAAGCGAATAATAAAGGTAAGAAAATAACTCAACACATAGCAATTAATTTATCATATCTTACACGAGGTAAAGCAGCTCTAACTCAAATATAAGTAAATGCAAATATATTAGCTTTAATACCTAAAACAATACCAGTACCACCACCAAAGAATAAGATAGCAGTAACAGTAGATAAAAATAAAATAGAAGCATATTCAGATAAGAAGAATAAAACAAAAATAGAAGAAGAATATTCAGTCATATGTCCTGAAACTAATTCAGATTCAGCTTCAACATTATCAAAAGGAGGTCTAGCACATTCAGCAACACAAGCTATAAAGAATATTATAGCTAATGGTAATAAAGGTATACCAATTCATATTGATTCTTGTAATTCAATATAACGAGAAACATTCATAGTAGAATTCATTAAAATACATAATAAAAATATAGTAGTTAAAACTAATTCATAACTAATTAATTGAGCTGTTGAACGAATAGAACCTAATAAAGAATATTTACTATTAGCTGATCATCCAGCTAATAAAGTACCAAATACTCCTATACTACTTATAGCTAATGATAAAACTAAACCATAATTACTATCAAATATTACTACACCTGGTGCAAAAGGTATAACAGATCAACATAATAAAGCTGATACTAATGATATTATTGGACTTATAAATAATATTAAACGATCAGCATGTGTAGGTATAACAATTTCTTTTAATAATAATTTAGCTGCATCTGCTATAGCCATTAAAGTACCATAATAACCTACTGCATTAGGTCCTACACGACGTTGCATATAACCTAATGTTTTTCTTTCAGCTACAGTTAAAAATGCAACAGCTAATAAAACTGAAACAAACATAATTAATAATTCTATAAATAACATATTATTTAGTTATACTTATTGCCCCTATAACTGATAAAATTAATATTAATCCTGTTATTATCATTAATATACTATAATCTGTATATAATAATGAACCAACTATTATTAATTCATTTGATGTTGTATATACTATTTCTGATATTCCATCTACATTATATGTTAAATCTAATGGTAATGATATTATTATTAATATAACTATTATATATGGTGATATAACATTTTTTGGTGAATATTCTATCTTTAATAAAGATAATATAAATAAAAATAATATTGCTATAGCTCCTACATAAACTAATATATATAATATTCCCATTAATACAAATCCTTGTGAATATAAAGATATTGCTGTACTAACAAATAATAAAATTAAAAATAATATACTTTGAACAGGTGTTAATAAACCTATTGCTAATATACTACTTAAACCACTTATTAAATTCATAATAAGTAGTTATTTATCATTTGTACTTAATTTAATAATTAAATAAAAATGATAGATATAATATAGCTAAAGCTAAGAATCGAACTTAGATTAATATATAATTTATATATTACTTTTCCATTAAGTTACATTAAC